GTGGGAGAGAAAAGCCACGAGCATTTGTCTGGACCGTTTCATCTCCTAGAAAGTAGTCTCCTTGCAAATGATGATAGGCCTGAGTCTGTGCCAGGGTGGCTGTGATCAGGGTGGAAATGAGACGAGAAACCACACTTGACCTATGACTTCTAAGTGGTCAGGTCTGAGATAGACTAGACTTGAACTTTTGTCTAAATTGGCTTTTGTGTGAGTTTATAAGCCAAGTCATTATTGATGTTTTATACCTTTTTCTTTCATTTGTCTTCAAGCTATTGGAGCAGCTTTTCAATATTTGTCATTCCTTCTTTTTTTTCCTTTACTGATTAAAATATTACATATGTCTCTTTTTCCCACCATTGGCCTCTCCCTGGCTATTCCCACCTCCCAGCACATGCCCTCACCACCTCCCTCCTCCCCAGTGTCTGTGTCCATTGCTTATGCTTATATGCATGTATACAAGTCATTTGGTTGATCTCTTACCCCCACCACCACCCTCCCCTGCCTTCCCGCTGAGGCTTGATGGTTTGTTTGATGCTTTTCTGTCTCTGGATATCATTTTTTCTTTTGTTGTTGTAGTGTTTGTTGGGGTAAATCATCATGAAAACTAAATAGAAGGGGAAAACCCACCCCAAGTATCATAAAAATACACTTCACACCCTTCCCCATTTGACCACTAACAAGCTCTTTTTGAATGCAGCTTTATTGATAGTGATGAGGTTATAAACACTACATACATTTTAATTTGTTGTTCCTTATATAGTACCAGAATGTTTTAAGCAAACAAAAAAAATAATTCCCCAAAATTTGCTGAATAAATAAGTTTTTTAAGAGTGTCTAAGGCAAGTATTTTATTTCAGATTCCCTGAGAGGGAAATGTAAATGATCTTTACCCTCTGAATGTTCATGAGAGTAATTCTTTATTATTTAGAACCTTCAGTTCTCATAATTACCATGGAGGAGTGTTTAGGAAACTACGCTATATTTCCTATTGGTATGAAAAGAGATACTGAAAAATAATTCCTTTTAATGCTGCTCTGTGCTAGACAACAGTCATCAGTGGCTGGGATGGGCATCGAACTCACTACTCAGAGAACATTTGTTCAGAGAAGAATTCAGAGAAGATTCTGGAAATTCATTTCTTTGAAATGCAGGGGGAAAGAATTAATGAAGTGATTTCAGTTTCTTTTATCTAGCAACTTGGATATATTCTGAAGATATTTGGTCAGGATAACCAGCAAAAAATTGACATTTTAATATCTATTTGCAGGTAAACCTCTATCTATATGCATGCTTATGAAACACACTTACTATGCTTGCTGCTCTGCCTTCAATCAGAGAACCATTCAGTACATCTCACTTCCTTATTATCTCAGTTACCCCTCCTCACTCATAACGTTCCGCTACCATCTAATCCTCGCCTAGAATTATATGTATCTGTGCCACCACTGACTTTCTACTCATAACCATTCTTACAACATAGGAAGTGAAACGAAAACTCATTCAATGCCACTAAAAGCAACTAGGGTGTCAGGGATGACACCTGGGCACCAAGAGCCTACCTAAAAATGGACAGACTAATTAAATCTGGCTTCCTGGAGACTCTCACGCCAGGTCTCTGGCCCATTCAGAAAAGGAGAACTTGAGTTTCATTATGTCAGCAGCTGGGTCACAGGCTATTTCTCCGATACACTGACCTGATGCTTTTATTTAATCACAGGGCTCTGGCATTACAAAAACAAGTCCTTTTCTTACAGAAAAATAAAGGGAGCTACAGGGTTAGATCCTAAAACTGGGGAGAGTAATTGAATGTAAGCTTAAAACACAATAAAAATGAAATAATTTTCCAGTTGGGCAACATGAAGAAACTGGCAAGATTTTTAGGAGCAATTGCTTCAGTAGTTAAAGAGTATATTTCACTTACATATAAAAGGTGATGCATAATATTTTGATTCTGTATATTTTCACCTCTTTCAGTTGTCAGTGCAGGAGGTTCCAGGATATAAAACTTTCACCAATCCTTATGTTCCATGCTCCTTATGTTCCAAATTGCTCTGTCAGAAATTCTGGCCTGCCAAATTCAT